ACGACTGGATCAAGGTAACATCTTTAATTCTATGAAAAGATATCGCAAAAAGACCAGTAAAGAACTAGCATGAACCAAGAGGAGACGTTTACAGTGAGCCTACTCAAAACGGGTAGGACCACATCATTTATGAGTTGGCCCACAAAAGACTAGGGTATAGGAAGTCATAAACTTGGCACTATGGATAGAAGCACGACAGATGTGGCGGAGACTAGAGCTGGTTTGAACATAGACGTGGTCCATGAAGCAAAGGCTTGACCATGATAAATACTCGGGATCTTTAGCCTCAAATTACTTTCCTATCCAGCTTGATAATCCTGACATTTAGGGGCTTATTCAGCAAGGGAGGAGTATGTGTGCCAGCAAAGGCTTGAGACAGTGTGGGAAATAACGCTTCGAGTAATACAAAAAGTGTGGCAAGGGTCGAGTGAAATACCTGAACTAGGAAGGTAGGGGACGGATGCTACGGGGCACAAGGGCAGAGGATTGCGGAATACTATGACAGACTCTGATCATCATTCCCAGCATAAGGGCGAAGGGGTTGAGAAAGCCAGTGTGGGATATGGAGACTTCCCATGTAATCTGCTTAGAAGGGAACGCCATACCACATTAAAATAAGCAAGTAATAAAATTGTGATAGTGAAAGGGTGATATGAGGATATAGGATTGGTGATTAGCACAGGGCAGGAGTGATACCAGAATTGTTTAGCAGATAATTGGTCAAAGGATCGGCTTCACTTGTCTATTTGAGGATGTGTTGTTTGTAGCTAAAATTGACAAGGTTTACTGACGATGCAGGCGAAACGTCTTGGAAAGTACCACGTGCACGGGCCGCCTTTGGAAATTATCATGTTTACTATGTACTCAGGACAAGGTGTGTTCCTCTAGGTCTTCCTACCAATTTGGTCTTTTTAGTTTCATTTTCTGGAAAATCTTTTCGTAAATTATTGTTCCTTCTCCTGATGGCATATGTCCACTGACGGATGAAAGCTCAACACAGATGTATTTGATTCGAAGGATGGCGAGCCAATTTCTTCTTCGCAAAATTCGATAGTTAG